CCCGCGGCCCCCGCCACCTCCGAGCCCGGCCGCAGCCAGGACAAGAGCCTGCCGCCTCCGGGGAGCCCCGGTGTCCCCCAGGCCGCAGCCTCCACCACCCACACAGCCACCTCCACTACGACCGTGGCTGCAGCTGCTTCCTCATCAGCATCCCCATCACCTGGCCAGGCAGTCCTCCGGCGACAGAGACATGGCTCTGGTAAGGGATGGTGGCCCAGCGGAGGCCGCAGCAGGGATATTGGGATTGGGAGACGATCCAATCTGACCATCTGGCAGTATGGTGTTGGGGATGCCTGGAATACCGGTTTTTCAGTTGCTGTACCTGTGTGCTCAGGGGTCTTTATGGTCGGTTCTTGGAGCTTGTACCCTGCGGAGGCTGGGGTCTGGCTGGCATGCAAGTTTGGGTTTGGAGTGTTGGAAACTGAGGGGTTGTGGCTTGCTTCTGAGCCCTAAGACTGGAGAGGGGACATTCTCCAAGTGGTATTCTAGCACCAGGGTGAGAGGAAGAAGAGTTGGAGAGAATGGATGTGTCGCTAAGCCAGTGGGCTGCGCAGAATGGAACGTTCTAGATGATGTGGAGACTGCCTGGTTGTGTATTCTCTGTCCTCTTTGCCTGCGAGCAGAATGGTCCCAGGGGACTGCTATGGGCCTGGTATAAATGGTTGCTCTGGTTCCTCTTCCACCCTGGAGGGACCCTACCCATTGTCAGTCCTGAGCACCAGTGGTTCATACCTGTAATCCCAGCCACTCAGGAGGCTCATGGATCGAAGCCAGCCTGGGCAGGAAAGTCCATGAGGCTCTTATCTCCAGTGGTCTACCAAAAAGCCTGAAATTCAGGAGTTGTGACTCAAGTAGTAGAGCGCCAGCCTTGATCCAAAAAGCTTAAGGGACAGAGGCCTGGTGGGAAGGAAGGAAGGAAGGGAGGGAGGGAGGAAGGGAGGGAGGGAGGGAGGAAGGGAGGCAGGGAGGGAGGAAGGAAGGAAAGAGGGAAGGAAGGAAGGAAAGAGGGAAGGAAGGAAAGCAAGGAAGGAAGGGAAGGAGGGGAGGGACGGCAGGGACCATGCGCCTGAGGCTGTCAGCCAGGACAGGATGGTTCTGGTGACTCTCAGCTGCTTCTCCATGCGCCCTTCCTCCGAAGCCTCCCCCTTCCTCCCCACTCCACAGCAGGCCTCAGTGGTGGGCTTCCCTCTAGTGCTGAGAGTCTGATCTCCAGCCAGGTCGCTCGCTGCTTGTGCTCAGACTTTCAAGGATGCCAAACCCCACCGGGGTTCCAGTGCTGGAAAGCAGGCTGGGATGGCCGCTGGATGCATTCCCCAGCTGGGCTGTGGCCCTGGTCCTGTCACCAACACAGTATTCCCAGTGTGGCCACCTGCTGCCCACCCGGGCCACAGGCTCTTCCCCTCCACTGCTGAACTGACACCGCAGACTTCATGTCAGCACCTTACCCCGTCTCCCCGCCGCGCCCTCAGCCCTGGCACTGTCGTGAACTCCAGTCCCTGTGAGTCATTTCTCATAGTAGGAGCCACCTCTGTCTCAGGCTTGATCTGGTGGACCTGTCTTGTTTTGGAGGTCATAGGACTTGAACTTGGGGCCTGGACACTGTTGCTGAGCTTTTTTTGTTCAAGGCTAGAGCTCTACCCCTTGGAGCCCCCAGGCCTCTTAGTGAATTGGGAACTGTTCCCAAAGGCTTTGAACCATAATCCTCAGATCTCAGCCCCCAGAGTACCAAAGATCACAAGCTCCAGCCACCGGTGTCCCACTAGTCTTGTCTTTATCTGCAGGAAAACCTCAGGACATTTCCCCAGCCCATGGAAATGGACACTTTAAGCTAACACTAACTGCTGAAAAACCCAAATGTCCATGAGTCAACACATGGCTGTTTTATTTTATTTTTTTACTTTCTCCTTTGCATCCAATCCTGCCTGAGTGGAAAAGTGGGGTCCATGAAGTTACTCAGGGACCCAGGCTGACAGGGATTCTAGTAGCTTCCATAAGTGGCCCCTAGAGTCCTTCTGGGGGGGGGGGGTGACATAATAACAAAAGAAAAAAGAGGCTGGCACAATGTATGAATCACTTCCTTTCCTAAAGATGCATCTCTCTTGGGAAACTGAAGACAAATAAAGTCACTCCAACCATTTTGTCATACATCTGGAAAAGCTGATGGCAAAAATGATAAAGGTGGAGAGAAAATGTGGCAGCTCATACCTTTAATCCCAGCCACTCCAGAGGGGAAGAGCTAGGGGATGGCCGCCTGAGGCTAGTCACAGGCCAAAGTGAAAGACCTGATCTAGAAAATAACCTAAAGTAAAAAGAGCCGAAGATGGGGTTCAAGTAGCAGTAGAGCACCTGTCAGCAAATACCAGGCTCTGAGTTCAAATCCCAGTACCCATTTTAAAAAAAAGCAAACAGGTGCAGAAAAGATGACTTCTAAAGCCAGATATCCATCATCCTAGCTATTCAGGAGGCTGAGATTTGTCCTTTGAAGCCAGCCTAGGGAAAGAAAGTCTGGGAGACTTATCTCCAATGCACTAGCCTGGAGCACAAAAGTTCAGGGACAGCACCCAGGCTCTGAGTTCAAATCCTAAGAGCTGCTCTCAACCTCTAGACTAGGCCAGGCCAGGACATGACACGACACAGAGGTCAGGGTCTTTGGGAGAGGTACTTGTTGTCTTGGCAACTGCTTCCCAGAATCCTCTCTACTGTGGAAGGGGCGTAGGAACCTCTGTGGGGGTTCTTCACCACCTCCAGGCAGGTGTTTATTGACTTATACAGTGATTGGGCTAATGAATTAATGCTGGTCAGGGAGAAGGCCTTTCTACCCTATCTCCTTTGGGCTTCAGTAAACTCGTATCCTGCCCTGATATCCCCAGAGCCTGAACAGAAGGGCAAAGCAGCAAACAGAGGCCATCATGCTAGGAGTTCACACCTGTAATCCCAGGTACTCAGAGGTCTGAAATCTGAGATTACCGTGAGAAAGAAGCCAGCCTCGCCAGGAAAGTCCGTGAGACTGATCTCCAGGACACCAGCAAAAAGCCAGAAGTGGAGCTGTGGCTCAAATGAGAGAGCACCAGCCTTGAGTGAAAAAGCTCAGAGACAGACATCTAGGTCCTGAATTCAAACCCCAGTTCCAGTACGTGCACACACACACACACACACACACACACACATACCAAATAGAGCCATCAGCATGGAGTCAGCGCTCGTTTGATTAAGGAAGGGCCATAGGAAAGAGATCTGTACAGATGACATTGATTGGGCCACCCGCCGGCAGGAGCTCATTCTTTCCGAAATCTCCATCTCCTTCTGACCAGAGTCAGCGACTTTGCCTGTGTTTGCACAGCAGCGGGGTCTCCGGTCGCTGCACTGCCCAGAGGGACTTGAATAAGACAGTTTGGATTCTCAACCATTTAGTTTCCAGAGCCGTGGCTCCATATCCTTACAGATAAAGAGTCTTGCCAGGCACCAGTGGCTCACTCCTGAAGTCCTACCTACTCGGGAGGCTGAGATCTGAAGATGGCAATTCAAAGCCAACATGGGCAGGAAAGTCTGTGAGACTCTTTTCTCCAATAAACCAGCACAAAACCAGAAGTGGGGCTGTGGCTGAAAGTGGTAGAGCACTAGTCTTGAGTAACAGGGCTCAGAGACACACCCAGGCCCTGAGTTCAAGCCCCATGACTGACAAAAAAGGAAGACAGAAAAATAAGTTAGACTCCTCCTAGTCTGCTGGAGCAATGCCGCTGGAATGGGCTGTGAGACACTCTGGATCTTTCAGATGAGTGACTTTCCCAGACCCCTGTTCCTCACTGTCCCTGTTAGCCAGTTGCTTCTAGAAGGAGTTTAGGTCTCTGGTTTGCTAAAGGAGTAACTAGGTAAGGGCAGGAAAATTTAGACTCAAAATCTACATGCAAAAGGCTCGTTCCTTTCGCATCTCATTTGTCAAAGGATGTTTTTGGTATTTGTGCTTAAAAATATTTATAGGCCAGGCACCGGTGTCTCATACCTGGAATCCCAACTACTGAAGAGACTAAAAGATGAGAATTGCAGTTCACACCCAGCTCTGCCCCATCTACCTCCCCCCCCAAAAAAAAACCATCTGTATGAATCTTATCTCCAATTAACCAGCAAAAAGCTGGAAGTGGAGGTATGGCTCAGGTGGTAGAGCGCCAGCCTTGAGCACACCAAAGCTAAGGGACAATACATGAAAGATGTGAGTGCCAACCTCAGGCCAGGCACACAAATTAAATAAAGGTGGGTCTCCCTGGCAGCCCCGAGCTAGCACGGGGCACTGCCTGGATTTTGCCACATTCCATAAAAAGTGGCTCTTCACTAATCTGAACAGTGATAAACACATTAGGTTGCTGGTTCCAGACCCAGAGATGGGGTGGGGAGGGAGGTGGGGGGAGAATGAATAATGCCTGACAGACAGACACAGGAGAGGCGCCGCAGTGGGGCTGAACATGGCTGAAGAAGACAGTCTGGACTCTGGAAAGCTAGTGTGCTGGGGTGAGAGGTCCGGACCGCTGTGTGAATCTCAGGATCAGATTGTGATGTGTGAACTTCTAATTAGCCTCAGGACTCGGAGTCCTCGGAGAGGTGTCCTGGCCCTTTCGGGATGCTGATTGGCTGTGGCAGTTTGCTCTCTGGTGCCCACAAAGAAGACTCCTGGCTTTCCATATTTCAATTAATAATGAGAAGACAGCCAAGGCCATGGATGGGCGGGGCGCCCTCACAGGGAGAGGAAGTATCCTTGAATGTTGCCACGGTAACCGTAAACCCTGACCAATGGGGGCCACAGACACAGTGAAGCTGTTCACGGCGTCTCAGCTTATGGCCCAGGTGGATGACAGGGCTGACAGAAACGGTGGCAGTGTGGCCCTAGAAACCCAGTGGCACAGAATGAGTCTCTTACGATAGACAGCAAAGTCAGAGCGCTGGTGACTCATGCCTGTCATCCTAGCTACTTGGGAGGCTAAAATCTGAGGATGGAGGTTTGAAGCTAGCCTGGGTAGGAAAGTCCATGAGACTCTTATCTCTAGCTGGAAGTGGAGCTGTGGCTCAAGTGGCAGAGCATTAAATCTCAAGGACAGTGCCCAGACCCTAAGTTCAAGGCCGGGACTGGTACCAAAAAAAAAAAAAAAGTCAACTTAAATAAACAATCTCTTCTTCCCCAAAGCTCTGTTGTGACCTGAGGTCCATCTTCAAGGAGAAAACAAACAGGTATCACCTGATGTGTCACACCTATAATCCCAGCTTCATAGGAGACTGAAATCTGGAGGATCAAGATAGCCAGCATGGACAGGAAAGTACCCAAGACTCTTATCTCCAATGAACCAGCAAAAAGCTGGGCGTTAGAGATGTGGCTCAAGTGGTAAAGCACCAGTGGTGGTGGGGGGGAACTAAGGGACAGCACTCAGGCCCTGAGTTCAAGTCCCTGTGCTGGCACAAAAAAGAAGGAAGGAAAGAAGAGAGAAGGAGGGAGGGAGGGAATCTGGCAAAAGAGTGTTCCAGAGAAGAGAGAATGTGGCTTTAGAGAAGGGGGAAATTAAGGAGTTCGTAGGGAGTAGAGATTATCAGCTACAAGTCAGGTTGTCCTGGAGCCCGGGCTTCACACTTGCATGAGCGGGACTCAGATGACAGGGGCGTGTGGCCTGTGGCTCATCCCGAGCAGGCTTTCTGTGGATAGCCTGTGGGAGACACCTGGGAAGGTGTCCGTGACGGGTGTCAATCCTGGGAGCCCTGAATCACCAAATGGAATGGTTTTTGTCCATCGTTGCATGAGCAGTGGCTGTCCTGTACAGCCATTTTCTCTCAGCACCCGTGAACCCCAAAATAGACCCTCAGATAGCTGATCTTGAAGTGCAATGCACTGCAATACCATACTTGCTTTCTGTGTTTTTTTGCTTTTGGTTTGTTTGTTTGGGGTCCCAGTACCAGGACTTGAATTCAGGACCTGTGCATTCTCCTTTAGCTTTTTCACTCAAGGCTGGCACTCTACCACTTGGGCCAAGCCTTCATTTCTAGCTTTTTGCTGGTTTATTAGAGGTAAGAGTCTTAGGAACTTTCCTGCCAGGGTTAGCTTTGAACCATGATCCTCAGATCTTAGCCTGAGTAGCCAGGATGACAGGCATGAGCTACCAGTGCCGCCTTTGCTTTGTCTTCTCTGGGGCCACAGGAAAGTTTCAGCTCTTATTCCAAACTCTATAACTGCTTACTCCTACCTGTTTATGATGAATGCTGACATACGTTTGTCCCCTTGAGGAGAGAGGTGCTTCCAGGAAAAATCAGTGTACCTCTCAAGCTGGAACATTCCAGAAAGATGTGTGCTCTGTTGGCCTCCTCCAGGCAAGGGTTTAGTTCCAGCCAGTTTGGACTGGCTAATGTTGGTTCTCATGTAATACAGTTTCTTTATGGAGTTTCTTTGGGTCTTAACTCAAAAATAAGACTCCAGCCAGACATTGGTGGCTCACACCTACCATCTCAGCTACTCAGGAGTCTGAGATCTGAGGCTCTTAGTTCAAAGCCAGCCTGGGCTGAAAAGTCCCTGTGAGACTCTTATGTCCGATGAACCACCAGAAAACCGGAAGTAGAGCTGTGGCTCAAAGTGGTAGAACACTAGCCTTGAGCAGGAACAGTGCCTAGGTCCTGAGTTCAAGACCCATGACCAACAACAATAACAGTATGACTTCACACTAACCATTTCAGAAACTTTATTCCACCCCCCCACCTCTGATTCATCTTCTTGCCCATGCTCAAAGGTCCAGGGATTCCCTGGGGAAAGACTGCTTAGCAATGAAACATTTAGTCAATGAAGCATTTTAAAACATCCAGCATGCCAGGTGTCAGTGCTCATGCCAGTAATCACAGCTACTGAGGAGGCTGAGATCTGAGAATAGTAGTTCGAAGCCAGCCCTGGTAGGTAAATCCAAGAGACTCTTGTCTCCAGTTAACCAACCACAAAGCCACAAATGGAGGTGCAACTCAAGTAGTAGAGCACCAGCCTTGTGCAAAAAAGCTCAGGGACAGCAAGCCAGGCCCTGAATTCAAGCCCCAGGACTGGCATAAAATAAAGACTCTCCAAGGCTGATCTGCATTGCTCAGGGGACAGAAAGCCCCTTCCTCTGCTGAGCCCAGGCCCGTCATCTGTCTGCAGCCCACAGGAGGATGGTTTGCTCTAAGCCAAGGAAATGTCTATCCCTGTAAAGCAACTTTTATTGTGATCGATTCTCCTCTAAATGCCGCTGAAGGCACAGAGGAAGGCTCTTTAGTATATCTGGGTCTTTTTGGTTTTTTGTTTTGCTGTTTGCCACGCACAGCTGCTAATGACAATATGCGTCTTGCATAGCTGGGATTGCAGGTGCACACAACCATGTCCAGCATAAGACAGGGTCTCGCTTGAGATTAAATTTCTGTTTTAGTGATAGCAGCATTTTTTTGGACCATATTTAATTTTGGGCTCACAGCAACCTGCAAAACAATACATTTATGTGGTCCAGTAGAATGCCAATGGCAGAATTATTGTAAGGATTAAATGGGATAAAGTTGATGAAGATATGAATATAATATTGCCAGGAGTAGATTCTAGTTTCTTCTTTTTCCTTTAGGAGTCACACTGATTTTGTTTTATTATAGTCTAAGCTAAGATCTTGCTAACATTCAGCCCAGGCTGGCCTCAAATCTCAATCCTCATGCTCACTGACTCCTGGGGACAGCAGGAGCCTCCATACTTGGTCCGATCAAAAGGACTCTTCACTTGTTGGGTTTGTTTTGTGCTGGTATTAGTAGGGCTTGAACTCCAGACCTGGATGGTGTCTTTTGGCTTTTTTGCTCAAGGCTGGTGCTTTACCACTTGAGCCACAGCTCCACTTTCAGATTTTTTTGTAGTTAATTGAAGGTAGTCTCTCAGATTTTCCTGCCCAGACTGGCTTCAAGCCACAATCCTCCAGATCTCAGCCTCCTCAGTAGCTAGGATGACAGGTAGGAGCCACCAGCGCCTAGCTAGCTAGCTTTTTCTTTTCTTTTTTAACTGAGAAAGTCTTGCTGGGCATGGTAGATCATACCTGTAATATCAGCATTTGGGAGGCTATGGATAACATAGCAACACCCTGTCAATCAATCAATCAAACATAATGAATGAATGAATCCTTCAGGCTCAGTGTGCAGATGTCTCTAGCATGCTCCAACCTATCTTCATGTCTCCAACCTGTCTTTATCTCCTCCCTCCCCCCAGGCTTAGAGTACTTGCCTAGCATGCATGAAGCCCTGGGTTCGATTCCTCAGTACCACATAAGTAGAAAAGGCCATACGTGGTGCTGTGGTTCAAGAGGTAGAGTGCTAGCCTTGAGCAAAAAGAAACTCAGGGACAGTGCCCAGGCCCTGAGTTCAAGCCCCAGGAGTGGAAAAAAAAAAAAAAAGGCAGGGCAGATAGCTGGGTGCCAGTGGTTCATGCCTGTAATCCTAGCTATTCAGGAAGCAGAGATCTGGAGGATCTGGGTTCAAGGCCAGCCCAGGCAGGAAAGTCCATGAGACATTTTTCTCCCCTGAACCAACAAAAAGCCAGAAGCTGTGACTTAAGTAGGCGAGTACCAGCCTTGAGTGAAAAGGCCAAGAAGAATGTGAGGCCCTGAGTTCAAGCCCCAGTACCAGCATTAAATAAGTAAATGTGTAAGTAACTAAGGAGCACCAGCACGTAACTAAGTGAATGAGCGTATGAATGAATGAACAAGGAGCATAGAGCAAATTAGCTCCTGTCCAATCCTTTCCACAGAGCGAAGGTTTTCCCAGCCCCAGACGTCTGACACATACTCTTTTTCTTTTTTCTTTTTTTCTTTCTTTTCTCTCCCCCCCTCCCCCATATCTCTATGTTGGACCTGGGCCTGGGCTCTGCCCTTTAGCTTTTTCTCTTAAGGGTAGGGTTCTACCACTTGAGCCATACCTCTGCTTCCAGCTTTTGGAGATAAAAGTCTCTTGCTTGGGCTAGCCTTGAACCATGATCCTCAGCTCTCAGCCTCCTCCTGAGCAGCTAGAAGGACAAGCATCAAGTATGAGCCACTAGCACCCAGCTTTTTCTTTTTTAAAAAATTTAAAACTTTAAAAAAAAAAGATCTCTTGTTTACTTTTTTAAATATTGACTTACTTATATTTTAAGTAAGTGCAATGCATCTTGGTCAATGTCACCCCTTCCATCATTGTCCCCCCCCCCATCCCATCCCTACATAGTTCCATTTTTACCTAATGTACATTGAAGGTAAGGACCGTATCCCCTCACCCTCCCTCCATCCCCCCCCCACCCCTGCAGGGGAATCTCTATCTGCTTCCTGGTATTCATTTTGTTAAAATAGTTCCTTCGTCATTCGGAGGAGTTACACCTTTACACTCTGAAATTTCTCTTATTTTTTTTTGGGGGGGGTTTGGTCGTGGGGCTTGAACTCTGGGCCTGGGCGCTGTCCCTCAGCTCTTCAGCTCAAGGCTAGTGCTCTACCACTTGAGCCACAGCGCCACTTCCACATCTTTACTCTTTCTCTGAGTTTCTTAAGTGCTGGTGCTTGGTAGCAATTGCTAGGCCAAAAATAAAAATAAAAAACAAATAAATAAAAAAGAACAAGCAGCAGCAGAGCTGGTGAGCCAGTGGCTCACACCTGTCATCCTAGCTGCTCAGGAGGCTGAGATCTGAGGGTGGAGGTTCCAAGCCAGCCTGGGCAGAAAAGTCTATGACACTCATCGCCAATGAGCCCCTCCAGAAACCCAGCAGTGGAGCTGTGGCTCAAAGTGGTAGAGTGCTATCCTTGAGCAAAAGAGCTCATGGACAGCATCCAGGCCCTGCGTTCAAATCCCGGGATGAACACAAACACTACAAGTGAAAAGGACACCCTGTCAATACATATGCGGAGGTCCCGAGGCCTGGGGAAGTCCGCTTGCGCCTGGCAAGTTTTGGTGAATCCAAAATTAATCCTGTCTGTGTGTTTTCTGTCCCCAGCAGGCAGTGGCCCGCACCATACCGCAGACCCACGCCTGGCCCTGGCCCTGCTAGCCCTGCTTAGCCTTCTGTGGGGCCCCTGAGGGCCTGGGCGTGACCGGTGCCGGCCCTGTGCAGCCGAGCCACCAGGGGGACTCCGAGAGACTGGAAGAAGCATGAAGAAATCCAAGCAGGAAACAGAGGAATCCTACTTTATTTTGAGGGGAGGGGGAAATCCCACCACTTCTGAATACCTACCATAATGAATCTAGTTTTCAACTAAGATGAAATGAGACCATGCAATCATGCATGAGCTCAATAATTTCTCTACTGCACTGTCTCTTTTTTTATTCTTTTATTTATTTAATTTTTTTTTTTAATAGCCAGTGCTGGGGCTTGAACTCAGGGCCTGGGTGCTGTCCCTTTTTTTTTTTTTCCACTCAAGGCTATCACTCTCTACCACTTGAGCCACACCTCCACTTCTGGCTCTTTGCTGGCTCATTGGAGAGAATTGTTTCACACACTTTCCTACCCAGGCTGGCTTTGAACCTCAATCCTCAGTAGGCTTAATCCAGAGTAGCTAGAGCCACCAGTTACCCAGCCCAGTGTCTTTTTTTTTTTTCTACTTTCCCTCCAGATTTTCATTTTTGCACGAACTGTGGTGGAGGTAAACTTTAGGATAATACATACAAATGTTGGAGTTACCATCTTTCAGATAAAGCAAAATATTTTTAGTAGATTCTTATGTTTAGAATTTTTTAATTTACTATTTTCTTTGGGGGAAGGCCCTTTTTTAATTATTAAATTATTTCATTGGAGACATTTTGATTAAAAAAAGACATCATAATTAAGATTCACTGTCAATAATATTTATTTTTCAATAAAGATTAAAACAAGGTCAGACCCTTGTTTATAAATTGTATTGTATATTGCTGAATAACAGTTGAATAAATAAAGAGAACTTTGAAATAACCTTTTGAGCTCCATACATTCACTCACCAGCATAGCTTTCCTGTTCTGGATGCCAGCTACACTTTTGTAGGTCTTGAACTCAAGGCCTGGGCACTGTCCTTTAGCTTTTTTGCTCAAGACTGGTGCTCTATCATTGGAGCCACACCTCCACTTCCAGCTTTTTGGTGGTTCATTGGAGGTAATAGTGTCATGGACTTTCCTGGCTGGGATGACTTTGAACCTTGGCCTCTGATCTCAGCCTCTTGAGTAGCTAGGATGACAGGTGTGAGCCACCAGTGCCCAGCTTTGAACTCAAAAAATTTTTTTCAAAGTAACTATATTTTTGTTTCTATTAACAACAACAAAATACCTTTATAATTTCACATCCCATTGCATTTAAAAGCACATACATTACAAAATAATTTTGCAAACTTTAACACACAGTATTTTAATGATACCTAAAATGCTATTCATATAATTTTAGCCCTGTTGAAAGTATTAAAGAATGTTTTTAAACATTCTTGTAAATTTGGCCAAAACAAAACCATACATTTTATAATCTTCAATTTACATCTGAAATATCCTTAAATGTTACACAAACATTCTCTCCGACCATTTGGACACAAATCTTTTATTCTCGCCTGTAAGAGGAATTGGTTTGCTGGACAACTTTGAAGGGTGTTTATACAAGTGAGCCCTGTAAGGGATGAGGGCGCCCCCTCATGGTTGTGGACAGGATATGCACCCAAGATCTGTGCCAGCGTCTCTGGGTTCCTGCTTAAGGCTGACAAACCCTTGACCATCTGGTTCCTGTTTAATCACAGAATGGTGTTAGACTACACCATGGCCGTTAGTTTTGGTTTTTATACCAACACTGAGGCTTGACTCAGCCTCACAATCTTAGCTTTTTTACTCAAGACTGGCACTCAACCACTTGAACCACACCTCCTCTTCCAGCATTTTGCTGCTTAATTGGAGATAAGAGTTGCACAGACATTCCTGCCTGGGCTGACTTCGAACCACAATCCTCAGATCTCAGTCTCCTGAGTAGCAAGGATTACAGGCGTGAGTCATGGCATCCTGCTGGCCCCTGGTGTTTAGGCGTGTGTACCGTGGATAACCGGCTAAACTCTGTGACCGCTTGAAATCGCTACACAACCTGGCCTTATCTTCACTGCTTTAGCATTTAATTGACTGGATATATTTGGACAACCCCATTGACACAGACAATGCCTCTCCTTCCTGGCCTCCAGGGTGATACTAATATCCTGGGATATTTCAGGAAAGAAAAACCTCAAGACTTCTTTCTGGTGAATACGTGAACTTGTCTCCTGTTCCATATCTGTTTACTGGTGCGGATTGCGCTGTAAATAGAATCATTTTGCCTGGTGGCTAGAAGAGTGGATTCTGTCTGAAAGGATTATCACTATTATTGTTTTTGCTTTTTTTTTTGCCAGTCCTGGGGCTTGAACTCAGGGCCTCGGCGCTGTTCCTGAGCTTTGTTGATTAAAGCTAGTACTCTACCACTTGAGACACAGCTCTACTTCTGGTTGGTTTTTTTTTTTTATACTAAATTGGAGATAAGAGTCTCATGGACTTTCTTGCCTGGGCTGGCTTCAAACCACAATCCTTGGATCTCAGCCTTCTGAATAGTTAGAATGACATCCATGAGCCTGTGCCTGGATAGCTGGGCTTATTATCCTAAACCCAGCTCCTTGATTAACATGGAGTCTCACAAACTTCCTTTCCATCCAGGCTGACCTTGAACTGCAATCCCCTGGATCTTCACCTCCTAAAAGTAGCTAGAGATCACAAATTTGAGCCATCACAGCCAGCTTCTGCCTAGCTTTTGCATTCTGGATCTCCCCACACATCAGACAATGATGGATGTCCATTCTGCCAGCATCCCAAAAGCTTTAGCCTTGCTTTTCCTGGAGAAGGAGTATTGGTGTGGCTGATGCGCCCTGCCCTGTGTGCATATACACACACACACACACACACACACCTGTCCAGCTTCAGTGAGTAATCCAGCAGTGTGAATTACTCAGCCCCTGGGGAAACAGAAGCCTAACTGGACATACCTCCTCTCCACATGATGGTACCACTCTCCCTTGGAGCCTCTGCAGTCACCAACCAGGATCCAGTGCTACCCACCAAGCCCCAAGACAACACCCCATACCTCGTATCCTGGGAGTCCCCAGAAACACAAAGAAGCCTAAGGCCTTCATAAGAGCCTCACCCAGAATGGGAACAAACATAAGGTGAGGTAAAGTCTGGAAGCCTCCCCCAAAATGACCCCTTACAAAATGACAAAGACCTGAAGAGCACCACAAATGTACTTCATGTAAGAGAATTCATGATTTTACACCAAGCCTCATTGGTCAATGACAAACGGGGAAAAAAAGCCAGTTCAGATCTATTACTTGCTCCTAATTTTTGAAAAAGAAATAAGGCAGGTGTCAGTGGCTCACATCTATAATCCTACCTACTCAGGAGCCTGAATAGGTTTTGATCCTCATGGATCACAGTTCAAAGCCAGATCAGGCAGGAAAGCTCAAGAGACTCTTACCTCCAATTAACCACCCAAAAATTTGAAATGTCACTGTGGTTCAAGAGGTAGAGAACTAGCCTTGAGCAAAAAGAGCTCAGGAACAGCACCCAGGCCTGGAGTTCAAACCCCAGAACTTGCACCTTAAAAAAAAAAAGGTGAATAATAAGATGCTTAGTAGAACATACAGACCTGCTGCTCAGGGGGCAAAGGCAGGAGTATGGCGTGTTCAAGGTCAGCGTGAACTACACAGAGAGACCCTGTCTCAAAAAAACAAAAAGCCACCTGTTGATCCAGCTACTCAGGAGGCCGAGATCTGAGGATCAAGATTCAAAGCCAGCTCAGACAGCGAAGTTAGTGAGACTTTTATCTCCAATTAACTACCAAAAAGCCTGAAAGCACTCAGGCCCTGAGTTCAAGCTCCAATATAGCCAAAAAAGAAAAAGCTAAAACAGAACAAAAATAAATGGAAGTTAAATACAAGGAAGAATTAGTATCAACAGACAGATAATAGATAATAGGGAGGAAGCAGGTAATAGGTGGGTAGGTAGGTAGATACATACATGCATACATACATACATACATACATGCTTTTTAAAACTGCTGGGTACAAGTGGCTCACACCTGTAATCCTAGCTACTCAGGAAGCTGAGATCATAGGATCTTGGTTCAAATCTAGTCCAGGCAGGAAAGTCCATGAAACTCTTATCTCCAATTAATCACTTTTTTTTAAATAGCCAGAAATGGAACTGTGGCTCAAGTGGTAGAGTTCTAAACTTGAGCAAAAAAAAAGGAGCTCAGGGACAGCATCCAAGCCAGGATGCTGGCAAACTCCAGGACTGACGCAAAATAGAAAAGAAAAACAGTACTAGTGTACAACTAGGAAAGAAGAAGTAAGGGGATAGTACAATAGTGATGGTTACCTGGATATGAAAAGGCAAAGAGATGGGGCTCACAGGTGAATAAAGGTAATTATCAACATCTTCATTCTCAGGGCTCTAGCCATAGCGCAGTTGGTAGAGCACCAGCGGATAAGTGAAAACATGAGGTACTAAGTTCGAGCCCCAGTCCAGGACCAAAAAAAAAAAAAAAACAGAAAAGAAAAAGGAAGATCTTGATTCTCCAACTGAGTAGATGAATTACTAATGAGCTTTATCAAAAATTAATAAATGGACAGGTACTGGTGGCTCACGCCTATAATCTCAGCTACTCAGGAGGCTGAGATACGGAGAATTGAAGTTCAAAAGCTAACTAGGCAGAAAGGTCTGTGAGACTCCATCTCCCAAATAGCCAGACAAAAGCTGCTCTGGAGGTATGGTGCAAGTGTAGAGCACCAGCTGAGCAAGCCAGCCCAGCAAAGCCCTGAGTTCAAACTCTGGTACTAGAAAGAAAAAAATAATAATTTTCTGTGGGGTGGAATGGTCGTGACAGTACAGAATAAACCAGCACAGGGATCCATCAACTTTGTGAGGTGAAATGCAGAAGATCAGGGATTCATATTAAAACAGAAGCAAAGTGGTGGCTTTTTCCATCTCTAGCCCCCAAGGCAAAATTTACACCTCACTCCATCTCCAACCCTAAGATTCCTTGGCCAAACACCATTCT